AAAGTATAGATTGGTCGGACATGTTTGTAATTGCAGACTTTGACGACGCAGTTGCGTTATTCTATCACCTTCTTTATAATTTTATCAGTCAATATGTTCCAACTAAATCCCCTTACATGCCGAATTATAAGTACGTATATCCAAAATGGTTTAATGCTGATATTATATGTAATATACGTAAAAAATATTATCATTTGAAACGGTATAAGGCTGAAGGTAAAGAGTACAACAAGGAATTATTTAAATACTATAGATGGCATGTTAAAAACTTGATTGACAATGCATATAAGCAGCACTTACATCTGCCTCAACAAAATATAATTAACGACCCGGCCAAATTCTGGGAGTACGTTAAGAATAGGAAGAATCACAGGCAGCGTATGAACGCTTATTCTTCCAGTGGTGTCGAAGTTGTTGGGCAATCTGCGGCCGACGCTTTTGCGAACTATTTTAGTTCGGTATATCAGAACAAAGTTCCTGAACTGGACCATGATGATGCGGTACGTGCCGCAGATATCAATATGACTCCACCTGTATCACAATATATACTATTGATAATACCAAGTTGAAGGAAGCAGTAAGGCGGCTAAAACCGAGGTCGACGTGTGGCCCTGATGGTATCCCTGTTTTTTTAGCAAAGGACTGCATATCCGCTTTTGAGAGTCCACTCCTGTACCTCTTTAACTTGTCACTGACTCAGTATAAGTATCCAGAAATTTGGAAAGTTTCTAGGGTTACTCCGGTTCCAAAAACTGATGGTGAAAATGACGTTTCGTCTTTTAGACCGATTGCAGTCTTATCAGTCTTTGCAAAATTATTTGAAACTGTCTTATGTCAGCAAATTAATAACCAAACTCAAAAATTATTGCATGATAGTCAACACGGTTTTCGAACTGCCCGTTCTACAACTACCAATCTTGTGTCTCATCTTGACTACACATACGCTAAATTGGATGCTGGTAGGCAGGTGGATGCTGCGTACTTCGATTTTAAGAAAGTATTTGACCTGGTCGACCACAATATCTTGTTGCGTAAATTGGCGGTGATAGGCTTTGCCCCGGCACTCATCAAGTTTTTTTCAAATTACTTACGCGATCGACGTCAGTTTGTTAAAGTGGGTGCATTTGAGTCTAGTGACTATTACACAAGATCTGGAGTGAGCCAGGGAAGTACGTTGGGGCCTTTGTTCTTTCTTATTTTCATTAATGACTTACCGAATAGCGTGACTGCCTCCAAATGTCTGTTGTTCGCGGATGATCTCAAGTTAAGCCTAGGTATAGATGACCCGTCTGACTGCGAGTCATTGCAAAGGGACATCGATGCGGTTATGGATTGGAGTGTATTAAATCATCTTCCGTTTAATAGTAATAAATGTAAAATAATAACATTCACGCGTAAACGCTGTCCACTAAAAAAAGAATATAAATTATCTGACACGCCCTTAGTAAGGGTAAGTGAAATTCGTGACTTAGGATTATTGTTAGACGCTAAACTTGACTTTCATAACCATGTGACTACTGTATGTAAAAAGACCAGTAAATTGCTTGGCTTCGTTATTCTCACTTCTTCACAGTTTGATAGATTAGAGGTCGCTTTGGTACTTTACAATGCATATGTTCGTAGTAAGCTTGAGTACGGTGCCATTGTATGGAATCCCTATGAGGAAAAATATATTTTGATGATAGAGAGAATACAGCGCAAATTTGCACGATGGCTATATAAACAGAAATACGGTTACTACCCCTATCTATATCCGTCCTTATTTGTTAATGGTATGGTGGGTTTGGACACGCTTAAACTTAGGCGAACTATGCAGTTGATAACACACTACCTAGCAATCATCCATAATCGTATAGATAGTCCGATGATATTAAGTAGAGTAGGGTTGTTGGCTCCGAAGCGGCTGGGCTGTGATGTGGAGGGGGCTGTGGCACCACGGCGGCGGCCTCGCCTTCTGTGGCAGCCGCCGGCGCGCACCAGGTACGGCGCTCACGCGCCCACTTCTCGTGCTATACGGCTTATCGGAGACATGCTCGCAGATTATAACGAGACCGATTAATTTGCTGATAGCTTAGGGCAACTGTGTAATAAAGCTCTTCTATTTTTGACATCCCATTTTGACAAATTGTAATATTATTAGTATTCTCTTAATCCTATCTTATGTAATCAATCTGACAGTGACATTTTGCTTAACTTATTTGACTTTAATCTATTTGGCATGTATTTTTTTTTTGGTATTTCATTGATCTACTTGACATGTATTCTTTAATTTGTTTGACCTTTTGACATGTATCTTGTATTATTACTATTATTTAAAACTGTAATTTGGTAATTAGCATGCTGACGTTTTGGGCAAACTGTAAGCCAGCATGTACACTGTTTTTAAAATATAAATAAATATAAAAGATACAATGTCCGTACGAGATACATTACAGTCAACTCTAGTGAAAACAGCTTCATCGAAACTAATCAAATACAATTTTTCAATACAAACGAAATAGCACTCCGATGTCCCCGCAGCAAACAAATCGCAATAAATTGGATTCAACTGCGTCACACCATATTTGTCTTATTCCAACAACATAACAGTAATATTAGAATTGCTTATTTACTTTAGAAAATCATATTTATCTTTGTAATGTTTTAAGATGATGTAGCACATTTTTTCCGAATAACTAATTTATTATTGTCTCTAAAAAGGCTTGCGTGTCAAGTATTTTAAGCATTTAAAGGCTAAAGCGAAGGATATAAATAATAATAACTTACATAACTTAATATATAGGCTGAATTTTGTAAATTATAATAGAATGTAAATAAATATATTTGAATTTAAAAAAGAGGATAGACGGTTATACAACCGTATTTTAATTTCGTTACATAAAACTGTTATTATCTCTTATTTCGCTGGAGCAATAAATTCCTGCGTACTTAACTTTTATAGTTTCTTTAACAAATCATTCATAAGAAAATTACTGTATCATTTATAGGCTTATATATTAAACTTTTTATTTATTTAAATTTAAATAGAATACCTTGATGTTTGACTTAAGCAGGGAATTTGCTAGACGGACTTGCCCACGGTACAGTTTAAATATAGGAACAGTTAGGAAACTCCCCACAAACGCTCATAAGGTCACACTTACACAAACGTGCACAACTACGAGACTCATAAGAGATCGTCGCGGTGCTCTTAGTTAAAATTGTTCAAAAGGATTATAAATCCATAGCACGCTACAGACTATAAACTATAAATTTTTAGCGCGCTATTAAATACGCTATGTTATAGCGCGCTATTTATAAGAAAGCGTGTAGGAGACCGGCAAGCGCGTTAAGTTTTGCAGAACGCTATATCTCGTAGCACGTTACTACGAGACTCATATGAGATCATCGCGGTGCTCTTAGTTAAAGTTGTTCAAAACGACTATAAATCAATAGCACGCTACAGACTATAAACTATAAATTTCTAGCGCGCTATTAAATACGCTATGTTATAGCGCACTATTTATAAGAAAGCGTGTAGAAGGCCGGCAAGCGCGTTAAGTTTTGCAGCACGCTATATCTCGTAGCACGTTACATTACACGTCGTTCATTGGATAGATCGCGTGCTATATAGGAATATTATTTCGTAATAAGTCGCATTTTAGGCTAAAATAAAATAAAGCGGTAAAGAAAAAACCAATAAACGCATTTTCATACTTTTCAGGTAAAAATTATTTATTGTTATGTTAATAATCCTTATTGAACTATAAGTACGTGTGATCGATATAATTAATTCGTGTACTTATGCAATAGTGGTAAAAAAAGTAAATCCAAGATGACGGCTGCAGTAATTATCAACTGTTAAATTTTTTCGTCATGGGTGTCGTCTTCATGGTTTTCGTTCTTTTAAAACGTTAATCCAAAATGGCGGCTGCAATATGTATCAATTTTTTCGTCATGGGTGTCATTTTCATGGTTATTGAAGGTGTTGAAGCCGATAGTGCTGTAGAAATGTAAATTGCAATATGACGGCTGCAATAGGTATCAATTTTTTCGTCATGGGTGTCGTTTTCATGGTTTTTGAGGGTGTTGAAGCCGATATTGCTGTAAACTTGTAAATAAAATGGGACAGTATTTTTTTACAAAATTTGTTGTTTAAAAAATATTTCCGGTGAGTTTCTTACTGGTTCTCCCAGGACAGAGGTTTTTTTTTGCGGACCAGTGGTAAATGAAAAAAAGTCACCCAATAAGTATTATTTATAATACATATTGAATAAAAAAGTTTGTGTTTCTGTACGTTCACTAAGATTTGCGGTCGCAGAAATGAGACCTGCCCGCGTGCCACCTGCGCTGTTTTCCAACCGCGGCTCGCGTACGCTCCCACCAAAACTTGTAAGCGGCTACGCCGAAATTACAAAGTTAAAGATCTATAGTTCTACAAGCTGTTGTATGTTAATATTAAATTGTTTTCCGTGTTTAAATTATTGTCTTTTGCTGAGATTAACCGACGCCATGAGATTACCTACTTATTTAAATTGTATTTGTAAGCTCATTATTTCAATCCCTTTGATTAATCACTACAAAACATAAGTTTAAAAAAACATACAAAACATTAAAAGTCACAACCCTATTGCTTCAATGAAGCGTAGGTAATTATGTAATCAACTAGGCTTAGTTTCCTTACTGTACATACTTACTACCATAGAATAATAACACCTAGAACGATAGTTCCCTACAAAGCGGACGTTCTTAAGTGAGGCAAAAACAAAATCTATGTGTGCGTAAGCCACTTGTGTTTACGCTAGACGAAACGCACTCAAGTGAAAAAATAATTTTGCCAATACATTAAATTTTCCCCAAAAGTAGGGAAGTTGAAACTATATCGGACTAATAGTTACGACGTAACGTATGACTGATACAAATGTGAAAATAAGTTTTTTGAATTCTGTTATCGAAGTGTAGCCCGCCAAATTCAAAATATTCTTGAATAGCGCATTTGCCTGTCTAGCCAAGTGAGATTTTTATGAGCCATCGAAATGTGATTGCATCATATTTTTCTTTGTTACTGTATAGGTTATAATAAATGTATACGTTATAATTATATGACTAATGCAAGTTCGATATACACACCCGCCCGATACCCGACACATGACTGTTCGACGAATGATTGATCGAATTCAGTATATATTTTTCAGTTTGTTTTTAACTATTTTTTTAAATAATTGTTGAGTAATGGTGTACCGCACCTCACTGCATGCATGATGTAAGCTACATTACGAAAAACACAAGATCATTTTAATTTTGGCAGGTTTCACACAGTAGATGCATTTCAGCTTAAAGTGATTGGGAAAAATTTATTAGAAAAACACAAATAAAAATTAAAATTATTTATTTCAGTAGCCTTGTAACTGCAACTGTTTCCTGAATAACTGACGCTTTGATGATACGAATCGTAAAGTATTTTCTTTTTTGGATTCATAGAACAGTCTAATTCTTAAGTAGCGCTCGACAATAAGTCTCATCAAATTCGTGTCATGGAAGTGGGAGTTAACGTGTTCTATAGAAAATATACGAGTTCCTCCTATGAATCTTCTCATAATTAGAAGTGTGATTTCTTTTTCGGAAATATTGCCTGGATTTTCTTTTAGATAACGTCTCAGAACAGTTTCAATAACACTACAAATAGAATAAACTTCTTTTGAGGCGTAAACCAATCCACCTTTATGTATGAGGGATACATACTAATTTATGGAACCAAAGTTTCTCTTTTGCAAGCATGTTATCAATGCAATATTTACATTTTACTCGGGTTGTGAGATGTCTAGCTACATTTCCAGCTATATAGCCAACAATGTGGTTTCTGCAGTTAGGATCATCGCTACCCGATGAAATTTCGAATCCGACATCATTTGGAATCGGTGTTTTCAATAAGTGTTCTGTTAATTCTTTTTCTTCATCATCAAATCTTTCGGAAAATGAAGTATTATTGATGCAAGTTAAAGCAGATGAACATGTTAAAATAGGTATGTTTTCGAGTGGCACGCAGTTACCAGTTTCACTTACTTGCAGTTCCATGCGGCAGAGCAGTTTTCTGTAGCTACCCTTAAATTGTAGAGCGTTTGGATTGTCATTATGTCCGCTTTGCATTCTTATCAATCCAAAAAGTAGCTCGATATGGTCCTGGCTCAACCTGTAGGTTGTAATATACTCCAGTTCTTTTGTATCTTCAACTAAGGTATTATATAAGTACTTAAGGCTCTCTATGCAAACTAACAATCCTTTAAAGCCAGGAGAGCACTTTACAGTAAGGGCCGATTGGAAGCTTTTGATTTTGAGATTTATTGAACTCTCTTTTTCATTGTATTTGCGCTTTCTAGTAGTTTTAATCTTTAAGTGAAGTATATATTTTTTGGTTTTCTCTAAAAAATCAAATATTTCCTTTTTATTAGAATTTGAAAGGGGATGGCAAAAACCATGTTGTGTTAACCTTCTCGTATTAAAAATGTCGAACAGGTCGTTGAAAATCATGATAAAATTTTCTGTGCCCTTACTATTCTTGAAATCGTCCAATTTCAAGACTTCGCGGCAAAATTTCAGTGCCACTGCTACACTTCTGCTAAGTAGTTGAACTGCTAACTTTATTTTCATAATTAAGTTTCTAAACTCGAGATGTTTACGCGTTAGTTTATTAGCAATGTGTAAACCTTCTTTTTCTTGAAAGTCATTTAATTTTGTTAAAAATTCCCAGTCCACTTTATTTTCATCTTGGTCTAAGAATACTTTTTTGTCTTCGAAATGATTCCGAACCAGTTTGATCATATGACTGGAATCTAAAAACACCGCTACCTCGTTATTAGCTGCTGGGTGTTTGAATGTAGTTTTCATATTCTCTACGTCCTTTAGTCGGCATCCTAATAATTCCATGGCTGATATATTTGTCGAATGTGCGTCAAATGTCAGAGCAACCACTTTTACGCCTACCTCTTCACATTTATTCAGGCATATTTTTATCAGGTTAGCTTTTTGCCCCCCGGTAAGACCATGCACCAAAAAATATCCCAATGGGATCTTCCAGTGTTCATTCAAGCACACAAGAATAAAAGTATAAGCTTCCGTAGCCTTTGTTGTACAATCAGATGTACCTGTGCCAATGTCTACACGCCCGTGCCCTCCTTTTATATTTTGTGGTCGTATTGCTATTTCATCTGCCACTAAAGCACATATTAATTTCTTCTGTGTACATTGTAATACTTTCGATTTCAAAATATGAAATGCTTCATCTGTAAAACCAGGGGAACCATTTATGGTTTTATACCAGTTGTAAATGGTTTTCGGATGTGGGAGGCAAGTATTAAATGTTTTACGAACATAGATGTAAGCTCGTGGCGAGTAAAAATGCAAGGTTAGACAGAATTTCCTAAATTCTGGAGTGTATTTAGGCATCGGTCGTTTTTTATCTTTACATATTTTTTTAGCTAAGCTACTGTATAAATCTGCTACAAATACATTTTCCGACAAAATATTGGATATGTCATTATTAATATATCTTTTCTTCCGTAATTCTACTAAAATATTTTTAAGAGTGGCATTTCTTTTCTTTAAGCGTCGATTTTTTTGCTTCAGAGTCTTAATCTTTCTACTGTGTTTTTGTTGCAACAAGATCTTTTTTCTTAGTTGTCTCCGTAGTGAAGCCTTTTTAGGTGAATCGAAAATAGAATCTAGTTCTGAAGATAAAGGTGTCATTGAAGCGCTTAGATTAACATTTTTGTCCATCTCACAACCTGAGGCTTCCTGAAAAACATTTATACAAATTAATAAAGTAGTAAGTACGTATCTGCCCCACATACTGATTTACTGGTAGAGAATGCCATAAGGCATAAAGTCCACTGTTTATGCATCTTATTCGTGCAATAAAGAAAATATAAATAAAAATAAGCCAATAGCTACTCGTCAATCGACATAATAATTTACTGTTAGTTTAGTTCCTATATTATTATTATTTTACTACACAAAAGGTGGACTGAACGCTTATTGGCATTCCCTACCATTAATTTTATTTACATTATGTGACTATGATGATGACTATGACTTAATAAAATACTGCAATAGAAAAAATCGACTGGTATCGAGTGGGACTCGAACCCACGATCATTCACTAACCGGGCGACTGCTCTTCTTTTTCTCTTGTCGTGAATTCGAGTTCTGCTCGATACCAGTCGATTTTTCTACTGCAGTATTTTCTTTTGAAAATAATGGCATTGTGAATGCTTAAAACCACAAATAAATTATGTGACTTGGCTTTGTGTTGATTTATTAAAAACTTACCGGCTGAGGTTGATTTTGCTCTTGACTTAAATCATCACTCTTCTCTTCCGTGCTAAAAACGGGTAGATCCTAGAACACAAAAATTAAACGTAAGAAAAAAAATTAAAAAGCAATCCATATTAAAACAGTTTATAGGTATAGAGCGGAATTTTTTATACCTTAGTTGGAACTGCACCCTTGCGTAATCTACATAGGCCACCTTTAGTAATATACTTTACTTCATCCTCAATATGTAAAGAACAAATTTTTGTATTTTTAGTGGGCTTCCAACTGCTATCATTTCGATTGCGTCTGATTTTTTCTGTCCAACGATCTGCAATGATCGGATCAGAAGGAAACCTAAAACGAAAATGAAACATTCATTTATTATCAGACTATATAATAAATTTCCTTAAAATTTATCATCGATACTTTTTAAATAAAAACAATGCGTTGTATTTTATTCAAATTTATTGACGTATTTTACTTTTAATTAAACGACAAAATGTGGGAGAATTTTTTTCACACTTTGGCAACATTTCCATATAATATTATATGGATGTGTCAGTTTTTAAAAATTCATATTTATTTTTGATGAATATTTTACGTAAAAATATAAGTTCAAAAGCACTACTTACACGTGAAATATAATGTCACTATGTTTCTTGTGTTTCTCTGATGTATTGTGACATCCGTTCACTGCACAAACCGTCATTTTAATTAAAATTATGAGAGCTGTTGTTAACACGATACGACACTGAGCACTAACGGGCCGAGTATTGAACTGAGCCATACTGGCTTAGTTTAAGTTGCCTCACATTACGGACGCGGACTCGGCTTCTAGGTGTTATTATTCTATGCTTACTACTATAGGTCTGTGCAAAATTTGTTAATGTAGGACCGTCGCAGTCGGACTTGCCTATTGAAGCTCCGCGCAATCTCATTTTGTCTGCGCGGGCACAAACTTGTCTGAACGTGAATGTTAACTACGGGCTGTCTGTTCACAGACACAAGAGCGACAGCAACCGGTGCAGGGGTCCGTTTATTATTATTTAACGAACTTTGGAGATTTTTCATTTGCAACGAGTTTTAATCATCATCATCATCATCATCATTACAGCCCTTTACAAGTCCACTGCTGAACATAGGCCTCCCACAAGGTATGCCACAAAGCACGGTCCTGAGCCACCTGCATCCACCGACTTCAGACGAGTTTTAATAATAATAAAATATTCTGGGAAGAGTTTATACAACTCTATATCCATGCGCAAGTAAATGTACAGGTCTCCTGGTTCATCAATTTCTAAATATTTATGCAAGTTGATACGGCTATACTCATTTCTATTTTTATACCTTTCTTTGCTCCAAATTAATAAAAAATAAATAATAAGCAATGTAAATCTAGGTTGTCATCTTGATGTGTACGTACAACTAATCACGTAGCCGGTCTAAAACAAACTGACGACTCTGTCCTGTGTAGTGTATTGCGGCAACAAACATGCCCGAACAGACAGCCCGCGGGCATGCCCGTCTTATGGTCTGTACACACGACAACGATTTATCGTTGCAAACTGACTGCGCAGACCATTTGTGCAGTTTTATCGAACGTGTGTACAAAAATCGGCGCAGATTTTTTGGTTGGTGCAATCCATCGGAGCAAGGTTTAATTCTATTCGATAAATCGGTGTCGATCGCGTTTGCACAGTTTTATCGTAGTGTGTTTTTTTATATGATAGGGTGACAAACGAGCACACAGTCCACCTGATGGTAAGTGGTTGCTGTGGTCCCTAGACATCTACATCTATCCTCGATTACAAATCAAAATGCAGATGCTTTGTCACCCATGAGGACTTAGATGGAATGCCTCGTTTCCAGTAAAAAGGGTATCTGGTTCTCTACACTTACTATACGAAACACAGCAGCATTAAGCTACTATTTCACGCTGGTATTCTGTGAGAGCGTGGTCCCTCCCCGGTCGAGCCGACCCATTCGTGCTACAATTATACTACTAATATAACTGCAACATGGCTCTACCATGTGTACGGAAGTCGGACCAGTCATTCAGTTCGTTGGCAAGTTTATTCGTTTCAGGTATGATTTTACTTAGAGCCTGTTTTGATATCAACGTAGAAAACTTCATACATTCGTACGAGCGACCTGTAGCTGAAAATCTCATAGTTGCAGACAATCTTTCATGAGAACTTATTGCTTCCCTCATCACGGTATTGCTTTTTTGTATTAGCGGTGTAACTAAAACAGGTGTAAGTAAGTCTCTTTATTCATCGTCATATAATTGTGCCAGTCTTTCGGGGAAAATTTCAACTCTTTCAATAAATTTATGTGAGAGGTTGACTTTTTTTTAAGAAGCCAATTCCTAAACCACACACTACGTGATTTTCTTTTCTTTTTGCACAAAACAAGCCAGGCTAGTGCAAGCGCTTCATCGTTTCCCATCACGAATGACGTGTTTTTTTTTTCTGAGTTTCTGCCGAGAACTGACGATCGACGCTGATATAGTAGATGTGTGGACGCACTACCGACGTTCGATAATTTGCGCAGTTTTATCGTTGCCGTGTATACCGGGCTTAATGAATTTCCCGCTTTAGCGACACGTGCTCGGAGGGTGCCTCAGATTTATTCGTCGCATATCCGATCCGATTTATACGTCATTTCCTATACGTGAATAAATACAATTTAATACGCATAAAAAAGTTTGATATCCTTGATGGACTTTTATAAATTTACAAACATAAAGCAATATTTTGTAGAACATACTAATTACCATCAAAGTTATTCAGTTTATAACTCATATAATGCAACAAGAGAGGGGCAGCAGCATCTTCCTGATAACAACTCAAAAAATTATAAATATACATGGGACAGTAACGCTGCAACGACATTACGGTTGTAGGACAATTGTGGCGACTTGACTGGGAAATTTTAATAAATATAAAAATTGCTAAAATTAGTAGATTTTAGATTTTAAAATAGGCGTAAAAATTAAACGCTTTATTTCAACGAAATATCATTTTTATTCAACATAATACGAGTATTCTACTTAAGTCATAAAAGCTCCTAACATATAAAAAGTATATATAAGAAGTAAGGTTTTAGAGCACGTGAGAAAGCTCCATAAAGTATTTTGGCACATCCCAGACTCTAGTATAGATTAAGTTTCCCTTTCTGCTGTTTTTTTTTGTTAGTTTTATTAAGTTTTTTTTTTAATAAAATAAGGGTGACATAACGAGCACACAGTCCACCTAATGATAAGTGGATGCTGTAGGTTTTAGACATTTACATTTATCCTCGATTAATAATCAAAATGCAGATGCGTTATTACCTCTGAGGATTAAGATGTAAAAAAGGGTATCCGGATCTTTTCACTTGCCGTATGAAACACAGCAGCATTAAGTTGCTATTTGAAGCTGGTATTCTGTATGAGAGCGTGGTCCTTTCCCGGTCATGCCGCCCCATTCGTGCTACAAACATAATATAGCTGCAGCGTGGCTCTTACACGTATAAAAGTTGCAGATAAGCAGTAAATTCTCTCAAGTTTATAAAGACTTCCCCGGTAAGCGAAGTGTAGACTTGTGATGAGCTGCAATAATGATGATAACATTAAGAACAGTTTCAGGCTTACTGTGAAGGAATAAACACAAGGCTTTGTCTTTAATTAATTTATAATTTTGATAACCTTCAACATAAAAATATCTTACGTATGAAGTAAGTGAGCCGTGATAGCTCAGTGAGCCGTGGTAGCTCAGTGGTTAACGCTCGCTGTAAATATAACAGAACGCGAGTAACCCGGGTTCGATCCCCGCCGGCACCAATGTAATTGTTAATTGCAATTTTAAGTGCTGATTTACCACGTGCTCGGCGGTGAAGGAAAACATCGTGAGGAAACCTGCATGTCTGAAGAATAAGGAAAAAAAATTTCGAAGACATGTGAAGTTCGTCAACACGCATTTGGGCAGCGCGGCGGACACTTCCTTGCCCTAAACCCTCTCAGAAATGAGGGGAGGCCTGAGCCCAGCAGTGGGACGTATATAGGCTGTAACTTTTATGAAGTAAGTGCAAAGACGAAAGTACAAGTACTGCCAAAATGTAAGTTGTTAGGAACCTTTTAAGTTAATTTTTTTATATAGAATAAGGGTGACAAACGAGTACATAGTCCACTTGTTGTAAGTGGATGCTGTGGCCCATAAAATTCTACTTTTATACTCAATTAAAAATCAAAAGGCACATATGTTGTCACCCCTGAGGACTTAGATGCAATGCCTCTTTTCTAGTAAAAAATTGTCGACGGATCTCTACACTCACTTTACGAAACACAGAAGCACTAAGCTGCTATTTTAGGCTGGTAATCTGTGAGAACGTGGTCCTTCCCAAGTTGAGCCGACCCATTCGTGCTACAACCATAATATAGCTGTAGCGCGACTCTACCACATTTGAAATGCAAATGGTGTATTCAAATATTATAGTTTTATTGGCTGGATTGCCCTTTTTTTGTCATCATAATCTACAAACGAGTTTTTTCAAATCAATGATGAATTGTCTTTAAAAATAATCTAAAAAATATACTAACAGAAATGTATTAACTTCATTCTTCCATAAGCAGTCTTAACGGAGACTGCATCGGACATGCACGAATGCGCAGGCCGTAGTCCGGTGTGACGAAGAGAGAGGTGCACGGCTAATGCCTTTCATATGCTTTCCTAGTCTCAGGGGTGAAAAAATGCCAACTTCCCGATTCCGAACTACTAGTGAGAATTGGTTGACAATAAAAACCAAATATATGAAAAATCCAGAAGTGCACACACATGAGCGTTTGACTCATGTAATGTTTTAAATAATCAATTTATTTTATTAGTCACCGAATCACGTATTTGGTTTAAAGATACAGAAAAATTGTTTCTGTTTAATTAACACAATTTTTTTTGAATGCTTAATACTGGTGATGTGTATTTTGTTACCGAAAAAATGTCAAATAATTAATAAAATAAAAAATAATGATAATCGTATCACATTGAATTTTGCACGGCGAGGGCTTGCATTACTAAAATATTAATGAACGGGACGGTTTACAATACTGAAAGTCAAAACACTTCTAAAGGAATAAAATGGCAAATAAAAAAGATCACTTATTCACATCCATACCGACTGATTGAAATATCCTTTTGCTGTTGGTGTACTTTTTTATTATATAAGCAATATAAAGCTGATGGAAGTGATTTAAGTTGAGCGGATCCCGATTTTCTAATTTGGTGACAACAGAGCCAGTTTTAAGATTGCATAATTGTGAAACGCCTTTGATGTCCGGCGATGCCGCCGCCCGCGTAGGTGTACGGCAGCGTGAATGCTAGAGTTTGTCACGAAAATGGAAGTAGAATTGTTTTGGATATTGTAATACTCATCATTTATTAACGTAAGTGAAAAACGTTTATTAAACAAGATTATTTTTATGAAGAAAACACACATTTACCAGTGGTAAATACTTAAATTTAATTACGTAAATTAAATAATAAAATTTACCCCCTTAAAAACATTCTTAAAACCTTATTTTACAATCTAAGGGTTTTAATATTTCAAGACTTCTTTCTTAGTAGATCCTACTTAATAAAATGAAATTATTGTTCCCATTTCATGCACCTACATCCAGCGGTTTGAGCTGTAGATTTAATACAATATTTTTCATACAAAATTTGTCTTAAAACCGTAAGAGGTAAATTTTAATTATTAATTACTTTAAGGCATTAAATATATTTTCTTCCTTCACATCGAACATTATCTACCCTCCCCCAGTAAGAGGTTGTTTTAAGAAATACCAAAATATTTTATTTCCATACAAAATTGCATACCATCTACCGAAACCGCAAAATAAGTATTTATTTATTTAGCGAATTTCGTAAAACCTACTAGCCTACTGTCCAAATTTTAGATTTCTACTTCAAGCGGTTTAGGTTGAACTTATTTACTGGTAGATGAGTTAGTCACTCAGTGCAGTTTAGTATCTATGACTCAGTATATAAAGAGTATATTATACACAGTGAACAGTGACATCTGTCGGTAAGTGGCAAAATTAAATTTTATGGCAAATTAAAATTTATTCTGTTCGTTTTAACTATGTCCAATATTATTAAATTTTGGACAAGTTAAAACGACATAGAGAAAAAAACTTCTGATACGATATATCGTTAGATTTATCTTTATACTAGATGTATTATAGACTTTATTTCATTAAATTAATAAACATGAGTTTGACAGATTGTCAAATTCAAATCAACAAAGGGTTATCAACAAAAAAATCGATATTTTTTTGTAGAATAATTGTATCAAACCAGCACACAATTCAGTTGATGGTAAATGGATGCTGTGGCCCATAGACATTTACATTTATCCTCGATCAAGAATCAAAACGCAGATTCGCTGTTACTCCTAAGGACTAAGATGGAATGCCTCATTTCCGGTAAAAAAGGGTCTCCGGATTTCTACACTCACCAAACGAAACACAGCAGTATTACGCTTCTATTTTACCCTGGTATTCTGAGAGAGCGTGGTCCTTCCCCGGTCAAGCCGAGCCATTCTTGCTACAATTATAATATAGCTGCATCGCGGCTCTACCACTTATTAAAAAATAATATTGACTTCTCTGTAAACAAGTTTGTTAACCCTTGAATGGGTGAATGGGATCGCGTTAGTTAGGTGTTTAAAAAATGCTTATTTTGCCACACGGGGAATAATTTCTACTCTTTAATTACTATTTTATATAAAACAACCCGTAAACGCCGTCAGCATAAGGGAATCTACACCCAATATCACGTGGGTGTCATAAGATAAAAGTAAATGAAACAGATATGCAGTAGCATCTACCTGATGATCTTACTGAAGAAATTGGCCTTTGCCTACCTCCTGACTAGAAGAAAAGCCCCCGCCCTCCCTTCTTCAATGTATCAGTCTTTGATGGAGGCCTAAGTGATGTGGACTTTTAATGGGCTGTAACTCATCTTATGTCCGAGGAAGATTTGTTGTGTTTCCGTGTCACAATAGTCTAAACTGTTTATGGGAATCATTTGTTAGGTGACAATATCTTTAGTCTTATGATATGATATGTACGTTACTTTATTTACAGAGGTCAAAATTTATTTTACAGAATTATTAGAATCTAAATACCTTTACTTTTATAACTCATTAACATTTAACTTAACAAGGGGCATGTTC